TTTAGGAACATCCGAGTATGAAAACTTCAAGATGAAGGCCAGAGAATCCGTTCAAGATATGGACAAACGATTCAACCTCATTGCCAACAGTTTGAGTAAGTTAAATAAAGTTTATTCTACTAGTGAGATTAACACCAAGATTATATTCTCTCTTCCTAGAGAGTGGCATAGTCTTGTTGTAAATTTGTTGCCCAAATGTGCGGATGTTGAAACCTCCACCATTTGGAGCAGCCTATACTCTCATGAGCTTCTTTTGAAGAAAATGAAGGAAAAAGAATAGGTTCCTATCATCAAGAAGACCATGGCACTCAAAATTGATGACAATCTAGAGAGCGAAGGAGAAAGTGATGAGGAGCTTGCCATGTTTAAGAGATACAAGAAGTTTATGAAATGGAAAAAGGGCGAATCCTCAAAAAGATTTCCATCAAAGAAACCTAATCAAACAACTTGCTATGAATGTGGAAATGTAGGTCATATCAAACCAGAGTGCCCAAAGCTCAAAAAGAAGGAAGAGCTTAAAAAGGGGAAGAAGAAGGCACTAAAAGTCACTTGGGACGATTTAAACTCTGACGAAAGTGATAGTGACCAAAGCAAAGAAGAGAACGCAAATGCTTGCTTCATGGCCTCCAATGATGAAGAAGAGGTTAGTTCTCAAAATTCATTCACCTCTTTTGAAAGTCAAATTACTTTTGATGAGTTAAGGCAAACATTTGATGAATGCCAAGAGGACCTTTTTCGAACCATTAGGGAGAAAAAGGAACTCAAAGTGGCTCTTGAAACTTCTCGGGATGAAAACAAAATTTTAAAACTTAATCTTGAGAAACTTCAAAACCAAAATGAAGAATTTCAAAAGAAAATTGAAATTTTGATTAAAGAAAAAGACAAGGCCAAGCGAGGGGGCTTTAGAAATGTTTTATGATAGCTATAGCTCAATGAAGATGTGGGATGACCAACCAAAACTAACAAAAGAAGGGATTGGTTATGGTGAAACCACAAATTTGATGAGCATGACTAAAAATCATTTTAATACCTCAAAAACTAAACCATCAAACCAAGCCTCAACTTCTAAATCAAAAGTAAAGGTTTGCCATTATTGCATGCAAGCTAACCATATTGTGACAAAATGTCCAAACAAATGGTTAGTTAAAATTCTTAAATTAAAATGGGTCAAGAAGGGATCTAACCGGTCGGAATCCAAGAATATTGGATATCAAAAGAAACCCTTTTTGCAGGAAAATAAAAGAAATGATGGTGGATACTATTTCTTTTATTATGATGAAAAACGAAAAGTCCATATACCACTTCCGGAACCAACCAAGACGAAACCCGTATATCGACATAGGGTATTCGTCGATTGGAACCCCAAACCTAAGTCAAAAGTAAATTCCGTTTTGACTAGGTGAAAAATACCACTTGGGTTGTGGATAGTGGATGTTCAAGGCACATGACCGGAACAAGAGGATGGTTCACAAATCTCAAGGAGAAA